TCCGCCGGCTGCCGGGGCTGGTCGGGTGTCCACCCAGCTATGCACGGCAATCGTCAGCTGGCTGAGATTCTCAGTGATCTGCTGCAGGCTGTGGTCGTGCTGGTTCAGCATAGCTCCCTGCGTTGCCAATGCGCTGCAATACTGTGCTGCCTCCGCTGGGTCCATATTGGCTCTGTTTTCTGTAAGGGTTGGTGTGAGGTGTGACCCAGGTGCGGTGCAGGATAGACAGTAGGCAGTAGGCAGAGATGGTGAAACAAGGATCTTTACTGGTGGTCCCAAAACCAGGATACAAAATAACGGACTAGTCACGAAAAGATTAAGGAGGAGCAAATTGGTCTCCAAAAACAGGCTGACAGTAAACATATGAAATACTAACTATGACTGAAAACAACAATGTAACATGCAGAACACTTCTCAAGTACCTGTTCATACGTCTTGCGATCTGACACTGATTAGTACTGTTTGGCATCGAGAAAACAGAGCAAGGGAACACAGGTAAGTGAGGGCATAAATACACAGGCGAACAGGTAGACACAGGTGACACCAATAAGATAATGATTAGTCCAGACTGTGAGTGAGGAGGTGCCTATGGTTGTCGGAGGATGACACCTAGTGGGTTGCTCCGGAACTGCGACCCCCTCCTGTAACAGATTTATGGGAACTCTGAAAAAAACAAGGTCGAATCATGATGACGTCAGGGATCTTCAGGTCGTAGCTCTAGAAAGAGGCCCAAGTTCCCGACTTACAATTCCGAGTTGGATGACCGTTCAAAACATATTTTCCCAGTCGGAACTAGTTTTTTCCTGAGTTCGCAGTTGTCTTGTACTCACTGAAGTCAGATTTCCCAGTTCTGAGTTAACAGTTGTTTTGAGCGCGCCAGAAATCATGCTGGATTGATAGCATGGCCAATGTTGAATGTTTATAATTTTAAACTTGGAAAATATATCCTTAATCCCAGACTTTGGACCACACAGCCACTCCACTGAATAGCAGGCTAGTGATTGCTTTGCAATTGTCACGACTTCCTCCGAAGCTGCCTCCCCTCCTTGTTCGGATAGGCTTTGGCGTTCGTCGTCACAGGCCTTCTAGCCACTGCCGCTCCATATCTCCTCATTCCATTTGTCTTGTCTTGTCAATTACACACACCCTGTTCATACAGATGAGTGTAGCTCGGTGGAGCTACCTGTACTTTGTATTGCCAGGGTATATTTTCCCCGTGTGCCTGTATTTGTTCCAGTGCGCCTGTTTTGCGCACTGGACTGTTGACGCTATCCAGCGTAACTGTGTACTACGGAAAAACGTATGTGATTTACCCTCCTGCGCCTGACTCCTTCAAATCACACTCTCACAGAATCACCCACCCGAAATGGAGTCAACGGGAGAGGAGCGCTTGCCTGGAGTCATGGCACGGGTCCAGGAGCATTCAACGATGCTAGCCAGCTTGGGAGAAGCGATGGATCGGGTTCTTCAGGTCGTCCAACTTCTGGAGAGGAGAGGACCTGATCTGTCGAGACCAGCTGGGCAACCGGATCCAGCCACCCACACCCCAGCGGGATCCATATATCCCGACCACGGGAGTTCGATGGGACAGCTGCTCTCTGCCAAGGATTCCTCCTCCAACTGGAGCTCTACTTCTCCAGCATCAGGCCGGCCCCATCGGAGCGGGAGAAGGTGTCCGCCCTCGTCTCCTGCCTCTCGGGGAAAGCCCTGGAGTGGGCCAACGCGGTCTGGAACAAAGGAGGAGCCGTGTTGGACAACTATGGGGAGTTCGCTCGCCTCTTTTGGGCTGTCTTCGATCACCCGCCCGAAGATCGAGAGGCGGGCTAGCGGCTGGTCCACCTGAGGCAGGGGACGAGGACTACACAGGACTTCGTCTTGGAGTTTCGGACTCTAGCAGCTGGGTCCGGGTGGAACGAGCGGGCCCTTATCGACCACTTCCGGTGCCATCTGCGGGAGGACGTCCGAAGGGAGATAGCCTGCCGGGACACCATGTTGGCCTTCACGCAACTGGTGGACATGGCCATCCGTTTGGACAACCTGCTGGCAGCCAGAGAACATCCTGGAGGGGGTCTGCTCGTTCCCACCCTGGCCAACTCGGATCCCAAGCTGATGGAGCTGGGTGGAACCACAATCCAAGAGAGCGGAGGATGACAGCGCCAGTGTCACTCTGGTGGCACAAAGGGACATTACACTGCACATTGTCGTCAGCGTTCTTTTGGGTCGGGAGGCGGCAGGCAAGGCACTCTCGCATCACCCCAGGTATCGAACACCCACACTCGTTCAGAGCCCTCTGCTGCGCACTGTACCCTACCCATCTACTTTCCTGATCACATGGTAGTTCCCCAGTGGAAGGCGCTAGTCGATTCAAGCACAGCTGGGAACTTTATGGACAGGGCATTCTCACACAGTCTAGGCATTTCATTGGTTCCCCTATCCATTCCACTCTCCATCAGAGCACTTGATAGTCGACCATTGAGGAATTTCACAATTTTGAAGTAGTCAACTGGGAGGGACTTCCTATGAATTAAAGGGATACTGCAAGATTTTGAGATTTAGGTCACAGAGTTTTCAAACCCAGAGACGCATCATTGCAATACTTCCAGGAACGCGTTACAAAGCAAACTTTTTTATAATTTCAGCTTACGAGCCAAAAGTGGTCCCTGTACTACGTCATCCAGTTGTGTACTACGTCATCCATTTTGTGTGATATGTTACGAATTTAGCAATTTGTATATGTTATGAATTTAGCAATTCGTGTGATATGTTACAAATCCAATTTGTGCAATATGTTATGAATTTGTTGTGCTTAAGATCCCGGAGTGCATCTTTAAGAAGCTGAAACTCATTACTTCAACCTTGTGAAAGTGTCAAAATGACACATTTACATTTTTGTCAAAAACAACTTTATATTGAAGGAGTGCCTTTGATTTGACGGTGGCACATGCACAGTTCGGCGCCATCAGACCCGATGACATGTTTCTGCGCATGACATCGCTGACAAGTGTGATCAGAGTTTTTCTATTGGAGAAGCAGTTTCTGCCTATCTTTGTTTAGGTCGCTTATCTACTTACCCAGAGTCAGACGAACGCATGGATACCATTTTTATGTCTCTGTGTGCAGTTTGGAGATTATTGAAGTTAGCATATCTTTAGCATAGCACAATTGCTGGAAGTCTCTCGGTACAGTTGCCGGTTCCTCTCAAAAGCAGCGGAATAGACCTTCTAACTACTCCAAAACTGGGTGGTTGGTCATATATAGTCTTACAAATCTATACATAGTAATTATTATTTTATAAATTCGTTAATTTCACTGATAATCATAAAAAACGAGATTCTATCCACTTCCTCATTCTTTCCCGTTGTCCAACAGAGATCGCAACGTTGTATCTGTCTAAATGGCGCTGCTTGTGTGCTCACAGACACCATAAATGGGACAGATAACATGATTTTGATGATTTTGACTGAATGTCAGAATGCCACACATCTAGGTTATTATTTTGTAGGAAACAGTTTCATTAATCTACTAGTAGGTACTACCAGTGCAACCATGTGAATACAATTTGATCTCAACTAGCCTTATAGTAGCCTACAAGGAAATGGTTTCACAGCATGATGTTATTACATATTAATTAGCCTACTAGCTAGTACATATTTTACTCACAAAACCTTTCATTCCTTATAAATTACTTAATCCACAAAACCTATTCACAAAAAAAAAAATCACTAAGAAACACACAGACAAACTAATGAAAATGAAACATTTATTAATGTAGCATCTACAGTTTATTATAATACTGTAAGTCTCAACTGCGGTTGATTTGGCTCAGATTTTCTTCATTTTAGGCTTAAAAGAAGCACGTCATCCTGTGTTTTGTATTTTTATTTATTTTCCTGTTTTTTGTGAATTTGGAATGTCCGGTATCCCGGGGATACCATGCTGTCACAATATAAACGATGTAAGCACTTGTAGGCCAATTTTGATTCTGTATAATCAAATGCTCATTGACTGGACATTCCAAATTACCATGGCAATTATGCATCACATTAGTAATATTAATATGCAACATGCAGCAATCCACAGTATCCAAGGTATACTATCAACAGTGCTGCTGCGCTTATAGCACCCTGTTCCCTGTGCATAACATTTTCACCGGCAGCTCTTATGACTCACTGCCCTGTTTCCCCCAACTCTTAAACAAACCATCAAAGCCCTTCAAATAATGCTGTTAAATAAAGCAAGGTACTGTACGTAATGAGTCAAACAAGCACTAGGCCTAAAACATAGGCAACAAACGTGAGCTGGTAGATAAGTCAGCCCACTCTGAAGAGGTGAAAATTACATTCCCACTCCTAGTTTGGATGTGTGTCCTGTGCATCGGACATGCAGGACCAGGACCAGCCCTAGCCTACTGTTTTTTTATAGATGTAGATAACATGGGTTCATGGTAGGCCTATCAAAACATTGTAGGCCATCATTGTAAATAATAATTTGTTCTTAACTAACTTGCCTAGTTAAATAAAGGTTAATAAAATAAAATAAAAAATTGCATTTTAAAGAGAAAGCATGCGCCATGATCCGAATAATGGGGTAATTGCATTGCAATCATGCATCACAATAGTAGGCCTAACTCTATTTCTATTGTAGAATGCTGTTTTTAATAGATATGGATAACATGGGTTTATGGTAGGCCTATCAAAACATGCGCCACCAAGTCACTGACACACGCAGCAGCAAGCAGGCATTTCGTACATCTTGCTGACTTAAGTAATGATCATGAAAGCAAGTACCATGATCCAAAGGGAAATATGGGAGGAAAAAAAAAAAAAGGCTCCGGAGATGATAGCAAAAATCTGAACTGATACATATTTGATTTGCAGGAGGGAAAATTGCATTGAATCAAATTATTCATTTCCAATGATTTACCGCCCACAAGGGCTGGGTGCACTAGTGTAATGTAATACACTGGACAAAGCATATGGAAACAGGCATTTTCCACTCTAGAACACAGTTGCACATGCAAGGGATCCAATCAGGGTGATGTACTCCTTGAAGTCCACAGAGCCGTCAGTGTCCTGGTCCAGCATTGTCATCAGGTCCCCCACTTCAGGACCACCCTTCTGCTTATGTCAATGTAATATAGGATCACAAGGAAGACATAACATTAGGATTTCTGTATTTTGTTGTAATTCGCACTGAATGACAGACTCATGCAATATAGCAAGTCAGTCAAAGTTCAATAAATCTTTTTTTCAAGTGTATTGTTTTATTAAAATCATGACACACTTAAAAGCTTTTACTGCAATGGGCTAAAGCATGGTCACACAGAGTCTTTCTTGGTAGTCTTAAACAAATCTACTTTGAAACCAAAGTATACACCTCACACACATGGTTATGAGCTTAAAAAGAAGAAGACACCTGTACCATGTCAGATATAGAGTTGATATGTATTCAATTTTGAGTTTGCATCCCAATATTACACTTTATATACATCACACACTTTATATACATCACAGAAGTCTGAAATATAACAAAATCATGAAATATAACAAAACTGTTTGACATAGAAACACCAGATTTTCAGCAGTAAAAAAACAAAATATTTTATTAATTAGGAAATTATGAAAAATATTAATAACATTCCACCCATGAGGCCACTAGCCATTTGACTGCAGGAAAGGGCTACAGTGATGCTCCAGAGCCTTTGTATAATTTCAGCCAGTAGTTTTGAAAGTAGTGCTCACTAGCCAAAATGGGTCCCCATAAATGTTGCACAATTGTATACTATGTCATCCATTTCGTATGATATGCTACCTCTAGTAAAAAATTATTGTATGATATGTTATGAATTCCAAGTCGTACAATATGTTACGTATTTATAAGTTCTTAAGCTCCCGGGCTGCATCTTTAACAATAAAAGATAGCATTAGAATAACATTTGCTATCTCATAAGGGGGCAGACTTTTTTAAAAAGCATGCTCAATGGATGTTCATTATTGAAAGAGCTTTAGTCCAGGACTATAGGCTTAATCTGTGTCCGGGAAACTGGCCCTAGGTGTTGCAATGACTCACCCCAGGGATGTTGGGCAGCTCTGCCTTGATGAGGTTGGTTAGCTCTTTCCTGGTGAGGGTCTTGGCATCTCCACTGCCAGCTTGCTTGTAGAATGTCATGATGAGAGCTCCCAGGGAGGCTTCTGGTGGTGTGGGCTGTGCCATGGTGTCTGAGGGTGATGGTGAACCTGGGGGCAGAAACTATTATAAGTACTAAGTGAGCAACTTACATGTGGAATGCCTTATGTTCTGCATAGGAATGAAGAGGACTAAGTAAGTAAGTACATGTAAATGTAAAATGTAGATACGTACACTACCGTTCAAAAGTTTGGGGTCACTTAGAAATGTCCCTGTTTTCGAAAGAAAAGCAATTTTTTTGTCCATTAAAATAACCTAAAATTGATCAGAAATACAGTGTAGACATTGTTAATGTTGTAAATAGCTATTGTAGCTGGAAACGGCTGATTTTTCATGGAATAGCTACAGCACATAGGCGTACAGAGGCCCATTATCAGCAACCATCAGTCCTGTGTTCCAATGGCACGTTGTGTTTGCTAATCCAAGTTTATCATTTTAAAAAGGCTAATTGATCATTAGAAAACCCTTTTGCAATTATGTTAGCACAGCTGAAAACTGTTGTGCTGATTAAAGAAGCAATAAAACTGGCCTTCTTGAGACTAGTTGAGAATCTGGAGCATCAGCAATTGCGGGTTCGATTACAGGCTCAAAATGGCCAGAAACAAAGAACTTTCTTCTGAAACTCGTCAGTCTATTCTTGTTCTGAGAAATGAAGGCTATTCCATTAAAGACATTGTAAAGAAAAGGTCCAGTGTCTGTGTTCTTTTGCCAATCTTAATCTTTTTTTTTATTGGCCAGACTGAGATATAGCTTTTTCTTTGTAACTCAGACAGATGATATCACACAGGTAACTGACATTGCAAATCTTGTTTTAAATGCATTTCCCAAAAATATTCTGACACAGTATACAGGTCATAAAAGTGTACTAAAGAACTGAGCAGTTATGAACAGAGAATGATGGGATGATGGAGGAAGGGAATCTAATTGGATTGGTCCTCAACTCCCTGCTCAGGATTTGTGAGATGCAAATTATTTGAAAATGGCACATTGAGTGGTAAGGTGAAAGCAACAGACTGTAGACGAAAGTCGAACCTCCCCTGTGCATCTGCGACAGCCGAAAGTCAGACACTGATGTGGTTTTCCAACAGCAGGGTTCACTGCAACATGGTAGTGTTGCCATTGTTTATAAAAGTTTTTCTTTGTAATGTCGAAATAAACATGTCTCTAACCCCCATATCACACACTCACAAACTGTAAATATATGTGTGTACATTGTACTATCATTTGGTGAGAGAGAGTCTCAAAAACCACATTCAATTGTACATATCCACTGTATACATGAATCGCGGCAAAGTTGGTTCCTGTTTCAGTCACGTCTCGTCAAACAAAAACACCTTGATGATTGGTTGAAAATAGAGCCTCCCACAATGGAGGTGAGGGCTGCAGGATGAAGTTGGTGAAAAGCAACTGCAGAAATCTGCAGCCAAAACTTCATGACCTTTGATCACATGGTTTTTGTAAAGTTCATGCAGTCACAAATCAGACAATTTTTATCCCACACTTTGGAAGGCACCACTCGAACAAAGACTCCCTTTCAATTCCTTAAAAAAAAAAAAACTAGGTTACTACCCTATCTTTTTGGGCCAAGGCTGCGGATCTAAAGGTAACCGACCCATTCTGCCCTCTTGAAACCCTCTTCCCCAAAGCTAAAGATCCTAATCACATTCCGCACAGCGTTATTTTACGCACACATTCATTTTAGGCAGCGGCTGCGGATCCGACTTTTCTGGACCCCGCTTCCTGGTGGCTGGGGGTCCCGGGGATCCTCTACTTTGCGCGCATTCTCTGCTCTACTCGTAGAGAACGTACAGTTATGAATATAACTACTGTTCCCTGAATGAAGGAACGAGGTATACCATACTATTGGGAGTCAACAACCAACCATATTCACCTGAAGAAAACTGAAATTGCGCCCAACGTTAACTGTACGTTCCCTTTCAGTCGGTCACTCGGTATAATATACTATGGGGACATACAATCACGCCCCAAGCTGGCTCAGAGGGTACCAAACTAGGAGGCCCAAGGCAGCCCAAGCACATCCTGGTTCCACCGGCTCCAAAAAGGGGTTACAGATGCCACCATTTCCCCCAATACATACCCGAGAAGCCTGAACTGTCAGAGCCCCATATAGGGAACCAGAACCTGCTGCAACTTGGCTATGCACACTGACACGCTGCCATTGCAGCCCAAGTCCATAGACCCCCACGGTTCCAAGAACAATTCTTACCTTGTGAGCATGACATGACAGAACTCCAAAACAATGACTTGGTAAAGCGCACACGCTGCATAGCATCGACTAGAGTTGATTAACCACGGCAGCCCGAGGCTCAAACCCACAGGAAACCTGCAGTAACCTGGAAACGGTGTACTCGCGTGCTGCCACGGCAGCCCAAGGCTCAAACCCACAGGTAACTGTGGTAACCCTGATAATGCACACTTTACGCGCTGCCGCAGCCCAAGCCTCAAAACCAGAGGGAAATGTGGTAACACGGATAAATGCGCAACCTGCGCGCTGCCTAACACCAACTCCCGGACCCAGCCATAAGAGTGTGAGCCACACTGGAAGCAATTACATTCAAGGGATGAAACCTCAAAAAGGTTTGTTGGTAACCCCAACTCACTGCAGCACAGATATCACCAATCATCATGCCCCTGAACAATGCCCAAGCAGCCGCCACAACCCTAGTGAAGTGAGCACACACACCGCTAGGCAACCCTTGTCCTTTGCTGTCATACACCAGGGAGATAGCCTCCACAATCCAATGAGAAAGACACTGCTTAGAAAGCGTCTTACCCCAAGCTGGATTAGCGTAAAACAGACAAAAAGTTGGTCACAAATGCGGATATCTTTGGACCTATCCATATACGTGGGCAAAGCGTGCACCGGACACAGGCCACGCAACCTCTGTTGTTCGTTGGAAGCAAATGGAGGAGGTGAGAAAGGGAACAGCTCGAAAGCCAGGGACCTGTAAGACATAGGCATAACCTTGGGAGCAAAAGCTGCATTAGGACATAACATCACTTTGGAGTGGCCAGGCGCCAACTCCAAACATGAAGGGTGTACTGATAGCGCATGGTGACCCCCAACGCGCTTTGCCGACACCAAGACCATGAGCAGGGCAGTCTTGTAGGAAAGGACTTTCAGGTCCACAGACTCAAATGGTTCAAACGGAGGTTCACACAGAGCGTCCAGGACCAAAGCCAGTTCCCAGGTTGGTGCCATTTCCTTTGGTCTGAGCCAACACATGCCTTTCAGGAACTGCACCACCAGGTGATGACACACCAGGGTAGAGACATCAATCCCTACATGACAGGACGAGATGGCAGCCATATAAATCTTCAATACGGAAAAAGAAAAGCCCTGATCAAAAAGCTCTTGCAAGAACATCAAAATGGCCACCAAAGAGCTCTCAAAAAGGAGAAACAAATTAACTGACACCAACCCTCAAACGCGCGCCACATATGTATACAACCCTCTCGTAGAGGGCGCACTCGCTAACTGTATAGTCCTAATCATTTTTGAGGGTAAACCCTTAAGCCATCAAATTCAACCTCTCAAGGGGCAAACCCACAGATCCCATATCTGTGGTCATGGGTGCCAAACTCTCCCGTGTGCCTGGGACAATAGATCCTCACGACACGGAACCCTCCACGGGTCCCCGCCCAACAGGCAGATGATTCCCAAGAACCAGGGTTGTCTGGCCCAACAGGTAGCCACCAGATTCAACAACAGACCCTCCTGACGGACCCTCTCCACGGTGGCCTGAATCAGGTCCACCGGAGGAAACGCATAGAGCAGGGTCCAAGGTCACTGATATGCCAAAGCATCCATTCCCAACGGAGTTCCCAGATCCCTCATACGAGCAGATCGAACGGGCAAGGTTTAGGAGAGAAAGAGACCACGTCCCCCCCTGCCTGTTAGTGTACGCCACCGCCGTCCTGTTGTCGGACCTTACCAACACATCCCCTTTACGCTGTTGACCAAATCCCTCTTTCCAAGTAGCCCACACACAGCGCTCCCCATCCCAGTAAGGATGAGTCTGTCGTGATCACGATGCTGGACACTACCCGGCCCATGAGAACCCCCTGCAACAGCAGTCGCTGATTCCTCCAAGGAGTCTACACCCTTAGGCACGACGGGGATACTTTGAGCAACCAATGGCAGCGGTGAGATGCATCCAGTAGCGTAATAATCACCCAGCGCTGAAACAGACACATCAACAGATGTCCCAGAGGCACCACAGCTATCATAGTGGAACTGTTTCAGACAGAGCTGGAATGCGACCCTCCTCTGTTGGGACAATAATGCATGATTCAGAACGAGACCCAGAAACACGAAAAGGAGGAGGACGCACAGCGAACTGCAGACCGTGCCCCCTCGTCACCGTCCTCATCACCCATGGTGAAACTGCACATGCCCGCCACTGGACAGAGCACCCTGTCAGTCTCCCATACATTATGTCCTGAACGGGCAGAGCGCCACCATGAGTACTGGGATATTTTTATTTCTTTGTCATTCTTGTTTTCATATCCACCACTCTTGAAAACTGTGTGTCTGACTATGGGGAAGGAACCCGTTTTTATTATGCCCACATCTGGACGATACCATACTCTCGATACCCCAGACCACAGAGGAACCTAGGGTAGAACCAACGTGCTTTCGTGGTACCGCCGTTCTGATACCAGGCCCACATCGGGTTCAGGGATTTCAGCAACGAGTAACTTGCCCCCGTTGACCGAGCCACTTGGAAGCACTGTTGCCACAGTAAATGCTTGGGGAGGAAGGCCCTGAGAACACGCCCCCTCCCCCAGCGAAGGTTCCGCGGAAGAATCAGCTTTCACCCCACTCTCCTTTGACACAGCACGCCGTCTGTGCTAAGACGTTCGCCACTGCCCAGAAACACCAAGATGGTTAAAAAAAACGACCTCGAAGCCGCCCCCTGGCCCAGGGCAACCCGCCTCTGGCCTGGACCCTTTCCTTCACGCCTCGGGAACTGCCGAACCGCCCCCGCAAAGGATTTATGGGAAAAGAACCCGTAGAGCTGCGTCC